CAATGTGACCACAGAAGCAGGGAACAAAGTCATCATGGCTATGAATCAAGGAATGCCAATGGCCATCCGAGGCTGGAAGAGGCAGAGAATGATTTCTCTCTTACAGCCAGCATGTTAATCACACTTCTGGTCTCCAGAGCTATGAAAGAATACATTTCTGTTTGAGGGCACCCAGTTTGTGGTAATTTGTTGTAGAAGTCTTAGGAAATTAATATAGTTATTAATAATCAACCTGTTTTCTTCTCATACAATGGTTTAGTCTGTTGCTTAGGGTGCATAGTGTGGAAATTAAAAAACACTGTCTAGAAGCAATGTTTACTTCTCAATTTTTTTTTTTCAGTGATGAGGTAGAGAGGTGTTAACTGAAGAAAACTAAAAACCAGTAAGTACAGGGAGGCCTGTATATTGAGACTAAAAGGACTTAACTAAGTAGCTCTAAAAGAAGTACAATTTTCACCCATTTTACCTTATACTGTTGATCTGAAAGTAACTGACAACATAATCCCCCCTGATTTTAAGGTCCAAATTCAGCTTCTAAAGACTTGCTGACACATTTTTAAAAAGAAAGACTACAAACTCACTGGCCCTGCTGATTAAAAGTTCTGTGTCCATTTCTCACCCTGCTCTTTACAAATTTCAGTTCTCATCCCATAAATTATATCCCTTTCTCTGTACTCAGGCAAGATAATATTTTTATTAATATGTAAAGGTGATTGGTTTTCTCACAGCACAGCTACAAGGTGCTTGAGGGGATGATAGATTGGCTATATTTAATGAGCTATGTTTTTATTACAGCTTAGAAGCATTTGAAGCATTACAGTATATAAATTATGGCCCAATTGCCCTTTAGGCTTTAGCAGCTCAAAATTGCCACGCTCCAGGTCTCACACTTTGACATTACTCTCTTCTCTTCCTTTTTTCTGTTCACTTTGACATTTCTGCTGTACATGCTGTCTATAAAGCCAGTATACCTTATCTGTGGTTTTCTGCACCACCCCTGGTCCAGCCCTCCCCCTTTCTGGCTGCACTTCTTGGCTTCTTTTCCTAACTGTATTTATATAGACTCCCTTGCTCTTTACAATGTTTGGTTTGTGTAGTGACTTCAACACTGTCTTAGATCTGGAATCATACAAATGTTCTTGCGACTGGCGGTCGCCTCTGCAGGTTATGGTGTGTGGTGGGCTGAGCTCTGAACACCAATGGGTGAGTGGCTGCAGCTGGTTTTCATTTTGAGAGAGACTGAGAAGTCAACACAGGACAGATAATACTGAAAGTATCTCCACTCAGTGAAGTTTATCGGCGTTAGGTGGAGCAGGGTGGTACACGGAAGGCTATGCGTACAGTGAGATGGTCTGGTTTTACCCTGCCCGAGAAGTTATTTGTTGAACCCTTTGGGAATTGGCTTTTATCCAAGTCTGTGTGTACCTAGCTGGCTGGAAGAAGGGCATGTACGGGCGCTCTCAAGTTACCTGCTCTGGGAGACCAGAACAGGCGAGTACTTCGAAAAATTCCTAGGCTGGCTTGCCTTTATCCAGCACTTTAATAGCGTGATGAAAAGGACAGAGAAAAAGCCAAGGGAACGGTAGGCTAAGTGAGAAAGAAGAACAAGGGTAGTGGTAAGGAAGTAAGAACGGAGTCAGGAAATCTGGGAGGAATTCAAGACTTCAGTGGACTAAAGAAAATCAGCTTCCTCATTGGATGAACATACTGGATTCAGGAAGGCCTAAGTGGACTAAGGCAGAAACAACCTAAAGCATGGTTAGAGAAGTGTTTCTCTAAACATATTTCTGGTTGTTAGAGCTGACTAGGTCCTTAGAATTAATCTAAGTCTATCCTTTCATTCCATTCATACAAGAGGAAATGAGGCCTCAGGGTATCAGCTGAATTTTCCACGACTCCAGAGTTTATCAGCGGAAGATTTAGGACTGAAATGTGTGCTCTTTGACTTCTGGTGCATTATTATTCTTATTGTGTTTCACTGTCTCTAAATGACCTTTTTCAGATGATGCTATATATTGAACCCAGGTCCTCGCACGTGCTAGGCAAGCACTCTAGTGCTGAGCCATACCTGAAACTATTTTTTATTTTTATTTTTTTAAAGACCCGAGACAGAGTGGTTTTGCTGTTTCCCAGATTGGCTTTGAACTTGTGATCCTCCTGCTTCAGCCTCCCAGGTAGCTGGGACTACAAGTGTTTGACTGTCACCATTTCTAGTTTGCATTTTTAAATCCTGTATTTTCAGGTCCAGAGGGCAAGTAACTTCATAAAAAGTTATTTCTTTATTCTGAGAGGTCACCTAAGATACTTTACTTTTAGGATGAGGAAAGTAGGATAATCTTAAAGATTTGTCTTCTCGCTGCTTGCAAGTGTATTATAGTATTTCCTTCATGAATGCTTCAAAGCCTCAGTTCTTGTATAGTCATATTTCAAAGGAGTTTTCCTTTTTACTAATGAATGAAAGAATGAATATACAATTTATTGCATAGTTTCTGTGTGTCAGGCACTGTTCTGAGTGCTTCACTCCTTCACTGTATGGGTGTATGGGAGATATATATGGGAGATACACAAGTTGAAACAGATATAGTCCCTTCGAGTCCCTTCAATATAGTCCCTTCAAGCATTCTCTCCTTGAACTCTCTCATTTAACACTATGAGGTAGTGCTATTATGATCCATATTTTTCAGATGACATTTGGGCTAAGAGTGATTTATTGGCCCAAAGTTGAAAGCATTTCCTTATCTTAAATTCTCATTGTCCCTTGTCTGGATAGTTATAGAAGTTTCTTATTGGTCTCTCTACCTTTTAGTCATCTTCTTAAATCCAAGAGATGGATGCAAATTATTTGGTGAGCAGGACCAATCAAAGTGCCTGCTTACAATCAGCAATCAGTATGGTCATAACAACACACAGGAGACAAGCAGCGCTACTCCTTGAATTATCCTACACAGAGTTGTGAGAGCCTGTAATTTACTTTCTCCAAAACTTTGGCTGGCACCTTCTTACCTACAAAATTAAGTGCAAATTCCTTAGAAGGGGCTTTAATAAAATCTTTGTGATCTGACCTCATTGCTATTTTTCAAGATCTTACCTAAGTTCTCATTACTGTTCAACATTTATTTTATATTCCATCTGGGCTTGATATATCATTCCCCCAATACTATTTTTCTGCTTTTCTTGCCTTACCTGTTTAGACTTTCTGTCTGACTGTTCCACATTCTATTTTTCTCATCATTGTCTAATATATTCCTACAGGCCCAGCTCAGAGGTCAATGACATCTTCTGTGGCAACTATTCTGATATCTACAGTGAAAGTGAGTTTTTATTTCTTCAGGTTGATACAGTGCTTTTTTTTTGGCACTTAACAAATTTTACAAATAGTATTTACTTCTTGTCTACCACAAGAAGTGTATAGAAGTGTGGGTTTTAAACTCCTTAAAGTAAGGGACTATATCTGTTTCAACTTGTGTATCTCCCATATATATCTCCCATACACCCATACAGTGTCTGACACCTGGGTGCATACAATATTGATTAAATTGATCTGAACGTGTATCATGGTGGTATTACTCAGGGGCCTGCTGCTATTCTATTAGAGTATAAGATTTGGATGTGTCATTTAGAAGCAATTTCAGGCCAACTCCAAATTCTTATGACTGCTACTAGTTAGTACCCCATTCACAAGACCCTCAGGTGTCACCTGAAAGCTTTTCCAGATAACATCATAGTCAATGAACACTTTTTTTTTTAACCTCAGTAGCCACACATTAAAGTGTCAGATAGAAGTCCAAAACTGAGGAATTTTAGGTCTAACTGGATTTGGGTTAATATAAACTAGTAATTTTCTCTTTCTCTGAGATATTGAGTAAACTAATATATATTTTTCTTTCTGTTGGAATTTTCAGTAGGCTACCAAATAAGATTAATACTCTGATTATTTCTTCTGGTGGCGATTTTTTTTCTGCAAGGCGGTAAGCCATTGCTGCTTACTATGGTGGCTGATACAATTCTTAGGAATAGTGTGATTTATCTGAAACTTTTTCTTTTTCTTTTTCTGTAACTTTTTCTTACACCTTTGAAAACTCAGATATACTTGAGCTCCACATTTTAGCTAAATTACCAGGCTGCTTGCACACTGTGGTTTTTGAATCAGCCAAGATTCCTGCGCTTTCCCTTGCTTGGTTCTCAGCCCTCCCACCCTGCCTCTCCGGTCGTCCTGTTAGCTGAGAAGAAACAAACTATTACCTGAATGAAATCTAAAACTTGCTGATGTCTTTGTTTGGCAGCTGCAACCTCGCTGTCTGAGATTGCTTCCCTCAGGGACTGTTGAGTATTCAGAGAATCCAGCTCCACAACAGCAGAAAGGCGGCAATACAGACTAATAAATTTCTCTCTGTAGCTGCAAAAATGAACTGGAAAATGGACAAGCAAAGTAGAATAAGTTAAGATCTGGTATCAAAATAGAAAACTTCATACGTCAGAGAAAACCAGTTGAATGAAAACACGATTTATTAATCCTATCAATGGAAAATATTGAGCCATAAGTAAATTACAGACATGCTCTTAAGGGGCCAGTTGTCTGGTTTTAGTCAGACAGTATTCCCTTTTAGGTTTACCAACTTCTGGTAGGGTATGGGGAAATGGTATTAGTTTGAGCTGCAGTTTATGTGGACTGTTTCCTAAAGCTGGGGATTTTTAGTTTAATAGATAGTCACATGCCACATAGTGATGTTTCAGCTGGCCATGGGCTGCATATATAACGGTGGTCCAATAAGTTTATATCACCTAGTGACATAATAGCAATATTAATTTCTGTAAGTATGCTATATGATGTTTGCACAATAGTGATATTACCTAACAGCACAAATTTCGGAATTTATCCCCTTTGTTAAGCCACACGTGACTCTGTGTGTGTGTGTGTGTGTGTGTGTGTGTGTGTGTGTGTGTGTGTGTATGACGGGGAAAATAAACTTACTACTTTAAAGAAAAAAAACCAAGTATCAATTTGAAACCTAGTTTTGGTTTTCTTGTCTGATTTCCTGTTACGTATCTTGCTTTTTCCTTTCTAAGGCCTGAACCCCCAAAAGATACAAGATTGTATTTCTCAGTGTATCTTTTGTCTGACCAAAAACCATCCCTGAGTTGCCTAATATAGGCTTTGATCTTCCCTCTGCCCCTCACCTTCTGAGCTCTTTTGCAAGTATGATGGGAGTTGCTATCTGGACAGACCATTTTTGTTCAAAGCTACAGAAACAATCTAGCCTTCATCTCCGTCATTTGTCCCTTCTCAGGAGGGACAGAGCAATGCAGGATTGAGTTTAGTGCAGGCACCCTGAGGTGCTCAGACTTTTTTTATACTTCTGTGACCACCTTTAATCATATCAAAGCTTCAGATTCCCAGAGGCTGAAGAAAATGTCCTCATTCAGACTAGTGCTGTTCCAGTCTTTTCCTGGCCCATTGTTGAATATGGAGACTTACTCTTCAGAAACCTTATTTATTTTTTATTTATCACTTTTACCATTGTGTTCCATACTTTGGAAATAGGAGCATCCCCACAGCATCTCTGTTGGAAAATTTATATTTATGTCTCATGGGAGGAATTCTGGAAAGAAGATAAAATTGCCACCCTTTACCTCTTTGCTGTCATTTCCCATGACCAAGCTTGAGGCTATTTAGGGAGGCTAAATCACAGTCTCTCAGAATGGGTCACCTGGCCAGCTCTATACCTCAGTCAGGAAGGCTTATTCAGTGTATAGTGGGAGATCTCTGTGCACCTCATTATTCTCATCTCAGTGTTGCCTGCTCCCTTTCTTGATTTTCTCTTGATTTTCTCTTAGGACAATCAAGAGATTTGCCCTGTTCACTTTCCTCTTACGGAGTGGAAGAGAAGAATCTGATGAAGGCTTTGGTGCTTTCATCCTTACCCCTGTACAGTGGCTTCCTGTTTCATTTGAAGGAGGTGTTTCTCAACCCAGGGAAACTCAGGCCTGGAGTTGAGTTTTCTCTCTGGTATCAGATCCTCCTTCCCTTCATTTAGCTCTTTTAGCACTTCTTTGTCTGACACAAAGAAGAGCTGATTTCATATACCTTTTGGTAAATGTCAAACTATTTCACTTTTCTCAAATGATGGGGTTCTCATGCAATTTCCTCACTTAATGACCTCTGCCAGCATCCCCTTAACTTCACGATAAAACTCAGTCATCTCTGCATAAAGGAAGGCATCCTTCTCTTAAGGATCTAGCATTTGAATATATCTACAATCATAGCTCTCATTGTACAGCCACCTTCAACTACCACTAGCTCTGCATCAATCCTAAGATTTGGTCAGAATGAACTTCCTGCAAACACTTTTACACTTCTATGGTTTTTAAAAAATAATTAGTGCATGTTTCTAATACAGAATAGTGATATTTGTTTTGGGGAGTACATATGATATATCTTCATCATTTTCAATCCCTTTACCTCCTTCTCCGCCCCCCCCCGTCCTCTTTCCCATCTCTTAAGAGTTTCCCTTGTAGTTTCCTGTCATCTCTCCTTTACTTTTTTCATTTATTTATTTATTTTTAGGTTTCTCAAATACTTCTATGCTTTTACATATGCTTTTCCTTATTGTTAAACACCAGTTGCTACTAACACGTTCAAGACTCCTTATTCTGATAATGGAAGATCTCACTGAAATGTCTCCAGAGTGACATTTCTACTGACTTCTTTTCCAGGAAGAGCTAGTTTCTCCTTTTGTGCTTCTAGAGCACTTGTTTCTAAGCGTATTGTGACACATGCGTACTTAATTGTTTTGGTATTAGATTGTGGCTTACTTGAAGGCAGGAATCATGTCTCAGATTAGTTTTTCTTTTCTCAAAACCTGGAACATTGTAGCTTCTCAACTAATACTTATTGGACTTTCTGAATAAAGAAATAGACGCATTGAGGCTAAATGCGTTTAGCTAAAACGCATGAGTTGATCTGAAGAGGGAAGGCCCTGCTGTCTGGAAGGCACCTCTTTCCCTTTGTTCTCACTTCTCCCATTGTGTGCTGGAGTTTTGTATTCTGAAAGGTATATTTCGGGTCTGGAGTGTTTACTAGCAGCCCAGTGGAAAGGAGTCACCATTAGTTTGTAGCTTATTCTTGACCCTTGTAGCTCCCCAGCTGTGTCTTTGTGCCTTTCAAGGAGAGAGTATATCCTGTTAGCCCTTGACAAATGTCCTTTTTAGGCTTCAGGAGGAAGAGAGTAAAGTGTCTTACAGCCTGCTTTTGCAAACCAAGTTGTAAAGGGAAAAACCAACTCAAGTTTTTTCCTTTTCTAAAATATGTCTTTGACTGTAGAAAGATACTGAATGATTTCTTTAGAAGAAACACTATCAGCGCCATCTAAATTCTTAAAAACCAGGGTGTTCACAGCTTTCCCTTGTTGTGTCTTTGTGGTAGGAGCCATGGATCAGTGGGTGGTCTCATAGCACCCATGCTATCCATGGCCGTGAACCACAAGTGAGTTATGAGGAAGTTTCAACTGTAACGTTTCAGTTTCCTGCTCCAGTGGTTTTTATCCAGAGTCTTTAATGTCACTTTAACAAATGTTACTTTAACATAGTCTTTTGTGGTTTAGCAATGATACATTTGGTAGCCATCACCAAGGAGGGGAGGATAGACTGGAAGCTTCTAATTTTTAAAAATGTGAATCACATGCATTTGATAGATAAAATGGTATAAGCCTGCAATAATGTCATTATCTGGATCACATGATTTGTCAGTAAGTCACAAACGAAGACTAATTTTCAGTAGTGTTGTTTCTCCTTCTTCTTTATAAGGTAGTGAGAAATACAGTTGGCATGAATACTAACAGTGTAGTAGGATAGAAAGTACATGGGCTTAGATATTGCACAGGACTGGGTTTGAATCATAGTTCTGCCCGTGTGATGGTGAGCAGATAACCTCTGGGAGTCTCAGTACTACCCCTACCAAAGGGATAATAATGCTTACCTAGGATTAAATAATGAATGTTTATAAAGTACCCAAAACAGCATATGACACAGATAGAAAGTAAATGTTCCTACCCTAAACCTTTCACCCCCAGGAAATATGAGCCATTTTGTGGTTAGAATAGTAGAACAGGATTGGGATTAGAATATTCTTCCTAAGGATCTCTAACTCACTACGTACAGTCAGCTTGGGTCAGATGGCCTCTTCTGGAAGCTAAGGAATCAACTAGATAACTTCGTAGTGTTAGAGATGATTCCTTGCCAAAGCATCAAAAAGAACCTGAGCACCTAAGGTGCCTCTCTAAATTCTGGGTAATGAGTAAGTTGGCAGTTGGAATACAGGAATGGTATCCTAAATCATGAAAAATGGGCATTAGGAATGAAGGTTGAGACGGTGCCATTTTTTGCAAGCCTGTGGCCTGGATTCCATTAGGCTCATTGCCTGGATATCCCACAGGCACCTCAAAACTCATCATTTGTCAAACTGAACTCATCGTTTCTCCCCTCCCCCAAAACCTGTCCCTCCCCTCCTATTTCCTGTTTTGGTAGATGGCAACATTATCCATCTCAGCACCGGATTCAGACTCTCTGGCTCCTCCATTTTACTCTTCAGCCACCTCAAATCAATCACAAAGTCTCATTGATTTTAACTTTAAAATCCTCTTGCCTCTGCTTTCTCCTCTGTTGTCCCCTGTGGCTGTGTTTGTTCGGGTTCCTGTTGCCCACCTGGACTACTGTGGCAGTCTCTTGTCTCTTTGCCTCCCTCTGCCCCCGCTCCATTGCTTTCCTGCAGTCCATCCCCCACAGAACTGCGAAAATCCAGTGAGATCATATCATCCCTTTTAAAAAATTCTTTTTCATCGCTCCCCTTTGCCTGTCTGGTATTTTCACGTCCTTGGGAGAATACAAGTAGCCCTTCCTGATCTTTTTTTTTTTTTTGGTTTTTTTCCGGTACCGGGAACCGAACTCATGACCTTGCGCTTGCCAGGCAGGCGCTTTTGGCCCTTCCCGATCTTGACCTTTAGATTCCTGGGATGCCCTAAACATTCATTGCAATGAGCTACCAAAAAGTATATCTAATTGGGCATTATTTTCCTAGGTCTCTAAGACTGTGTGTGTTTAAAATGGTTTTCCTTTTATGCTGTTCCTATTCTTTCACTTTCTGAATTTTTTATTTATCCAGCTAAATGGTAACTCCGTAAGGAAAGCTGGAGTGTCTTTCCTCTGAAATTCAACAGCCTATGCTTTATAGCAATGTTTTCATTATATGAGGTCCGTTGATGTCAATCTTTGTATCCTGTACTAGAGTTTGAGTTTCTGATGGTAGACTGTGCCTTATTAACGTCTGTAGGTCTAGCTCCTGCACAGTACCTGGCATACAGTGTAAGCTCAGTAAATGTTTGCTGAATGAAGGATGCAGCCAAGCACAGAAGTATGAAATATATATCAGGCCTCAGATTATGTTTTAGAAATTCTCCAGTGTTTTTGTCTTTCTAGTCCAATTAGTATGAATCATAGAGCCAAGGAAATCAATAAAAATCAGTTTTTTTCCCATCATATGTCTACTGCTAATAGTGACTGCTTGCAGGATCAGGGCAGGGTGACCTCCTCAGTGTAGGTTAGGCAAATCCTCAAGAGGCCACATTATTGGATGGAGTTTCTAAGGGCTTATGATAGTGCTTTTCTTTTTATTTTGGGAACAGTGTAAAGAGTGGTGCTTGGTGGCCTCCAGGTATGTGCTGTGTTATTGTTAAGGGGTCCTATTTCTGCTCCTGCCCAGGGGATGGTGGAGTGTCAGCCCTGAGGCTGTGCAATGAGGAGTGGGTACAATTGTACCACTTTGCCTCAGCTCAACCTGCTTGCCCAGATCTCACAAGATCCTCCTGTAGGATGGGTTCTTTCAACTGTACAAGCAGCCCTCTGAAGGAATACCTTACAGGTTTGTTCCAGTGGTCGTTACTCCATGAGACAGATGGCTGAGCTCCTTTGTATCATTTTATCCTCACTAGATTTGTTTAGTGCTGGAATAGATACAGATGCAGTTTTCCATAGCTGGTTAGCAAGTTATTTATGATTCACTTAGGCCACTGGCGGGAATGTGATCAGTTTGCCAAATCTCCAATCCTTTCATGGGAATGGAGATGACGTATATAAGTCACACTAAAATGTACTGTGGCTCTTTGTTCTAATTTACATATTCCCATAATGCACATCTTTTCAATTTTCATTAGTGTTCCCATGTAGTTATTAAAATTTTTCTGAGTTTTGACTGAATTTCCAAAAACATTCTCTTTTTTCTCAGAAATATTTAGTGTATTTTGATCTTTTCTTATGGAACTGCCTATGGAGAACAGAAGTCCCTATTAAATAGTTAGCATATTTCTTAGAGGAGCGTACATCTATTATTACAAATCTTTAAAAAGTCCCTATATAAGGTATTATTAATTGCTTGATGGGCTGATGCCTAAATGAGAGAGTAACCATGATAATCTGCCTCTTGAAAAACTTGGATTGCTTGAGGGATAAGATAGAGTTTGTCATGATCTTACTAAGACCCAGTAATATTTTTAATATTGTTGGCTGGTGGTGTTGAAATGCAATAAACATTTTATTAGAAGGTGTATTAATCCTCAGCTACTGATGGCACTTTTCTCTGCTCTCTAAAGAAAAGCTAATAGAATGTGTGTGCCAATAGAACCAAGCCTAACCAAGTGGTCTTTTCTGGAAACTTACATATTCCTTACTAATTCATGAAGGTGTATCACCCATGATATTGCAATAAGGGAAGACCAAGATGGTAAGAAAGTGTCTTACTATAGGAAGTAACATCTTAAAAGTCAGAAACTATGGGACACAGCCTTTGATTGATGGCCTATTTTTGGTAGATCGAGGGTGGTATCTGTTGGCTTTATATTGCTTTTAGTAAATAAGAAGAGGTGGGACAGATCAGACACACACACTGTTGGATTCTACTATACTACTGTGCTGACTACTTGCATAGTTCTCTGTATCTGTGTCATATGCAAACTTCAAGTATGTGCCATGGGTTTCTGACATCACTATCACCGGAGAGCTTTCTAGAAATGTACATTTTCCAGCTCCTTCCCAGGCCTAGTGGACTTATCATAGCTGGAGTTGGGCTGTAGGAATCTGTATTTAATAAGCTGTCCATGTGATTAAACTTTGAGAAGCATTATTCCAGTGCACTGTATCTCAGACATGTGGGTTTTTAATAGGTGATCTGCTAAAAAATGGTTCCAGTTTGGTCAAATGATTTGGAAAATGCTGGGTTAAAGAAATTTAGGTTTTGTTTTCGATTGGGGAAAGGGTAGTTCTATGGATTTCACAGAACTTTTAATAGGTTATTCTACTGCTCAAAGTCATCCATTGACTTCTCAGTATACTTAAAGTAACATTTAAATTCTTTATTGTGGCTTGTGAGGCCCTGCATAATTTGACTTTATTAACTCTGATCTCATCTATCTTTGTTGTTCTTGGTCAGAACATGTAGGTACACTGATCTCTCAGCCAGGCATAATCTTACTGTAGGACCTTTGTACTTGGTGTCCTATGTCCTGGGAGTCTCAGGTGCCTGCTCAAATCTAACTTCTTCAGAGAGGCTTTCACATGTCTTCATATGCCTCTTCACTCTTGTCTCTTACTCTTCCTCATGGTCCTTCTCTGATATTTATTATACTGCTACTTGTTTATTATTTGTCTCCCTCAGGAGAAGTAGGCTTGGTGAGGGGTTATGGGTTCTTCAGTCTCTGGAATAATGCATGGTACTTAGTGGCCTGCTCGATAATATTTATTGATGAATAAATGAATGAGGGAATGGAGAAAGCAGGTGAAGGCTAGTAGACTTTACCTAAATTGTAGAGTGCAAAGTAACAGTAGAGAGACAGAGAGTGGTTGCCCAAGAAGAGTGTGTAAGCCTCACAGAAAGCAGGATAGACAGCATCCTTTCATGTCTAGGGCCTCTAGGACCCGAGGTATTGTATGCTAGGTTGGTACAATATCATTGACTGTTCCCGTCAAGGCCATGAAGGCATGGGAAAATGAATTTTGTGTATTTTTGCCTGTGATCATGGAGTAACAGTGAGTGTTTTGTACCGAATAGAATACTGGTTAACTCTCCAATGATTTCTTTTCCTTAGTTCTTTTTTTCTGACAATTATTCCATAAAAGTCATTCACTTTCATGGCTTCAGCTTTTATTAGTAGACACTGGCTACATTTCTGCTTAGTACCCAATTTTCTGTCCGGCGTTTCTATCGCCAATGTGACGTGTCCACCTTCAGCCTTAACATATTCAAAGCTAAAAGCCTCAATTTACTCTCCAAAACATATTCTCGATTTTTATATTTTTGGTAAAGGCAGTGATGTCCTCATAATCACTGATGCTGAAAACTATAAGGGCAATTCCACACTTCTCCTTCCCTCTTTTAAGCAGTTGTCCACTCTCGTTGCTTACTCCCGATAATATCTGTCCTCTCCTCTCCTCTCCTCTCCTCTCCTCTCCTCTCCTTTTTTTACTACTACCATAACACTGGCATAATAGTCTCAGACATTTTTGAACCTTGCTTTTAATCCATGTTAAGCAGGTTCCTCACCCTGATTCCCAACAATCAATACGGCCCCATCTCATCATACAACCTTATTCTTCCTGCTTTCCTCACATGTCCTAGATCTAGCCAAAGTGGACCACTTGTTCTTTTCCTGACTCTGTTCTTCTGTTCTCTTGTCTTTGCTCATTCTGTTCCTCTGGAGAAAAAACATTTTGTTTTTAATTCATGTTTTTAAACATCCTATCTAACCTTTTACACCCACATCAAATATACTCTCCTCATGAAGGATATACTTTTTTTCTTTTTTCAGTATCATATAGTACTTCATGTTTATGGGACATTATATCTCATTTTACAATAACTTTTATTCTTATTTTACTCTTACCATCATACTGAAAGCCTCTTAAGGGCAGAGCCTTTGTTGTACTCATTTCTAAATCTCCCCAGTAGGCATCCAAGAGAGATATTTATTGATTTGTTATGAAACCTTTGCCTAAAACTGTACGTCATTATAACAGCGCTATTATATCATGAACTAATAATGTTCTTTATCTGAGGAAATGGTCACATTCATATCCAGGCCCTTTGGGAGTGGTATGGCCAATATTATTAATTATGTGACACAGAAAAGGTGCAGAAAGGTTAAGTGATTGCCAGTGTCACACAGGGTAGGACCCAGGACCCTCAAAGTCCCAGTTGGTAAGCTTATTCCCACTTCCCTTACGAACTCTTCCCTCCTCTGGAGAATAAAACTTATTGTTCATCATCTATTGAACATCATCTGAAGTGCTTGGAATGAGGGAAACTGAGGCTTAAGACGGATATCCCAAAAGAATAAATTTAGATTCAGTTGCTCTGGTCACAAAATGAGGCACCAGACAGTTACCTCTTTCTGTTTCTAAATCTGGTGGCTAAGGTGCAGTCCAAGGAAGGTCTGCTTCTGTTCCACCCACCCACTCACTCAGCTGCCCGCAAGTTGTACAATTCACTTGAACTAACAGAGCCCTTGCTAATTGCCTCTTACTGGCCTGGTGCAAGATGTAGCATGGGAAGGGAGACAAAGCCTCCCTATTCACATTCTCAGTGGGCAGCAGGGGTCTCAGCGAAAATACAGAAACTAGAGCCCAGGCTATTCATTTTTGAAAAGTCAGGACAAGATCTTCCACCATTCAGAACCCCACATTCAAATCACAATATTGCATCCTGGGAGACCCTGTCTGTTTCTTATTTGATCTGTCAGAAATTTAGAGTCTCATAAATCAAGTCTAATAAATCAGTACTACTTAGAGCTGCAGACCTTTTTCTCCCTCCAAAGTGATACAAATCCTACATTTTAATTTCATTATTATTTTTTCCCAGTTGGAGGTGGGGGTAAGGAGAAGGAAAGAGAAGGGGCGGTGCTTTTCATGAAAACATCGTTCTTGTGTTTATAGTTTAAGAAAGCAGAGGAGAGGCGTTAAGTACAGCCTGATAACTGAACTTTCTGTTTAGAATTTCTTCCTCTCCATTGGGCCTTAACTAGGTTTCAATAATTATTGCTCAGGCACATAGTCTTGGAGCTTTGCTGTTTCTCAGACTTGTACACAGTTCTAGGAAGGGTTGTTGCCAAAGCCATCATGTGATTTATTGACCCTCCACTGGGACAAGGGGGAACAGATATAACTTTGTGATTTTATTATAAGGAGGCTGGGTTAATATTTCTAGGTGAAACAAGCTACTATACCAAGTTCAAACATCTGAAGAGGGAGGTTAAGAAACCCTGAGTGTGGGGTGTAAGGATTATTCTGTCCTGGGGCTGTACAGACGTCGTCTGAGGCAGGGAGCAGGAGAAGAAAGGACACATTGTGACCCATTTCCAACACCTCCTGTGTGTAGAGGCGGAAGTTCCTTGCCTGCAGAGGGACACGCGCGGAGGAAAAATAGGAGAGTTACAACACGGCACTTACATAAACAACACCAAACTGGCATAAAACATCTAACAAAATCACACGACTTCAAGCTTGGAATTTTTATACAACATAAATATTAGGGTTCAGCCCATTTAATAATGCTACATAAAATCAAGATTTAAGGCAGTAATGTTCCACATAAACTCTGAAAACAACATTTATGCTTCTTATAAAAGCAGAAAATGATTGCATTCCGTGGGCTTTTCAAAATGATGAATATAATTCCATGAAGCAACAAAAATGGATTGAATTAAAAATCCACTAGTTTCAGTTTAAGTTGGTTAAGGGGGAAAAATGTAGTTTCTGGCCAAGGACTGAGAAAATTTTATAAGTATCAAAAAAATTGTGTGCACTGTTAGGCAGTTAGGCAGCCTTCTCCCAACATGTATATGTAGCCCAAGAGTCACCAATGAAATATGAGCTGCCTCAAACCTGCTAAGGCCAAGAAACCCTTTAATAGGATCTACTGTCACAAGCAGAGCTGGTATTTTTTTTCTTGAGCGTATGGCCACCCCTGGAATAATTCATGCTCCTCTAGTATCATTACGGCATCTCTTGTAGTTTAGTCTTTACCATTGATGACTGGTTGGGACTGGCTGTGCAGTACTGACTTAAAATCAGAGCAGTACTATAATGGAGAGACACACTTGCAATCTCTAATTTATCCCCCTGCCTCCATGGGTCAGAGGCCAATTTTTGGTTCTTTCTTATTGAAAGAGAACCAGCCACTTGTAATGGTCTTCCTAATAAAGGCTAGATTGTGTGTGTGTATGTGTGTGTGTGTAGGAGAGAGGCAGTAATGGTGAATATTGGCAAAAAAAAACCAACCCCACAAAATCAAACAAAAATAAAAACAAAAGCAAGCTGGGCATGGTGCTGCACGCCTGTAATCCCAGCACTCAGGAGACTGAGGCAGAAGAATCATTGTGAGTTCGAGGCCAGCCTGGGCTACAAAGCCAGCTCAGGGCCAGCCTGAACTGCATCGTGAGACCCTGTCTCAAAAAAGAACCCAAAAAACAAAAACAAAAACAAAAACAAAATTCTAATGGTATATTATATTAAATTTTTTTCTAGACAAAGCTGAGAAAACTTTTACTAGGATCTTTTGTACCATTAGTTTTTCTTGCAGTTGCTTATTTGTGCAGGTTAGATTTGTGCATTTTGATTTAGATGAGACAAGTTTGACAGTAAATTTTCTGTGGAAAGATAGCGTGTCCTAGTTTAGCCATCTCTACAGATTACACTACTGTTATTCTGTTCTCAGATAAATCATTTGTCCATATAATTATACTGTTGTTTATGCATGCATGTATGTATGCATCCTTCTTGGTTTATGCTACCCTGTGAACCTTGATGTCTTTTAAGGTAGACTAGAGGATTTTTCTTTTGTTGACCAGGACACACTACAGTGGGGTCCAGGAAAACTGCAAGAGACTGAAACAGAGGAACTGGAGAAAAAGAACAGAAGTTCAGTGTACGTCTGCTTGTATGCATTAAATTCAAAATATGCGTGTGCATGAAAGGTGGTGTTTAAGTAAATGAAAATAAACATATGTATGTATATTCATGCCTCTTGAGTAAGTGTTACGCTGTTCAGTTTCTATGAGCTATAAAAAGAAGATAAAATGGTAAAGTCTAGTACCTGGTGTAGAGGTATATTGATCTGCTTAAGGAGAGCTTTCACTGCCATCTGGAGCTCATAGAAGAACAATTGCATGGGGCAGTCAGAAGTATGATCCACACTTTCCATAGATTCAGAGCCAGAAAGCTTTTGGATCCATTCCCACTCCTCTCTGTATGTTGAGTCAAATTAAAATTAGAAATATAACAAAAGTTCAGAATACAGCTAAGAACTGTCTTAGTATATATGTCCAGAACCTGGGTAACCCATTGTTGGTGGTTTAAAATTCAGTGTAATTCATGAATTTTGAACTTTTTGCTACACAGATGGAGTTTAAAATGAGGTCTTTGTAGATTAAACTTAGTTTACCTATCAGACCACACGCCTCAAAACAACAGTATTAATTTGTATGAATTAGTTTTTTAGATGGGAGCTTTCCAATGTTTTGTAACAATTTCTCAACTGTCCTCATGTTCCTTTCCCTAGGATCCTCTGTAAGTTCTAAGAGCCTACATTTTCCCTCAGGGGCATCAGCTGGTTAATTCTGCATTTGGGTAACCACGGGACTCTGGTCCAACTCAGGCAACAAACCACACGGCACATTTCAGCCCTGGCCTGTTGGAGTCATGGGGACTATTTTGGTTTCTTTCCCCTTCCAAAAACTTGAGGAGAATCACAAACAAGAACAAGACAATTCCAATAAAAGGAACCAGTGGACACACATCACTGCCCCCGTCTTCCGCAGAGACAGTCATCTGGGCCTTCTTCCTCCATGCGCTGCAGTCCTTCCTAATGAACTTTTCCAAATGTCATGCACAAAGGAAGGGGAAGGAATGGTGGTGGGAGGAAAACACATCTGGTTTGTTCCCCAAAGGCTGCTCTTCAAAAGGCGCTTGGAAGGATCAAGGTAAATGCCTTTTGGGCAGCATTGTTTCCACTGGTATTTTAGCACAAGTCTCTAAACACATTCTGTTGGCCCAGTTTTTGCTTCAGCTCTGCAGGGAGCAGCGATGTGCTCTAGGCACATTGCTTTCCTCTAGAAGAGGAAAGTCCTCCTCTTCAGGGGTGAAAAGAGGAGACACTGGCATATGTTCTCACCCATGGAAATCCTCTGAGAGCTGTCAGAGGTTCATAGCAGTCTGGCCTCCAATCATGTGTTAGAAAACCAAATTGGTTGTGGCATGGACCTTTCATAAAACAACAGTAATAAAAACTCTTAATTGAGTATTCTCAGGAAAGTTTCTGTTTTTAAGATACATTTGATTTCAAGCCTCACATGTGATAAGACTGATAAAAATCAAAATTAATTCTGCAACCTGGCCATATTTGTGGCTTCATAAATCATCGCAATATTTGCAAACCCACCTGAGAACTACTTTTTCTTTCCCCTCACTCATGCTGAACTAAAGTTTTATGACTAGCATACATATACACGCCACCTAATGGACCGCATTGCTAAAGTCAGGTCTGCAATAAAGTCAAAAAATAAATTAGCAGTAAGAATACCTCGGAACACTTAGCACTAACTTGTCAGTTTAGGTATGAAGACGTGGGAGATGGAACCGGCAGAGTGGAGGCTCCTGGGATCTTTGGTAAAACAACCTTGGATCTTTGGCCAAGGAAAATTAATTGGCATAGCTCATGAAAGACAGAAGCTGAACATGAGTGAAAATGACCATTGCTGAGTCAACCCACGGATGAGCCAGGTAACTTTTTGGGGAGAACTCAGATGTTGATTGTCAAAGTGACCACCAGAGGGCAGACTTAAAGCCCAGGTGCAGTTCTACATATGAAAGGAGAGAATTATGGCGGTCAGTGAGTTCTTCGAAGAGACCATCACCATCGCCATCATCTCCTCCACTGTCACCAAGCAATACATATGTCATAAGCCTTGTGAGATATTACAGTGAGTAAAGCTTTGCCACTTTTTGGGACTAGGTTTTAAACAACCAACTTGGAGATTTGTTTGGTTAAGCCAGTCCATAGGTGTAACTAGAATTTTGGGATCTACCTTGTACTCTTTGAAGCCTGAAGAAATCTGGAGATTTTTT